TTTGTATTTTTTCATAAACTGCCATCTTGGCCCTCAAAAATTGATTTTTTTCCGAAAAATCATTGCTGCCAAGTTTTTGCCGACTTTCGTGCAAATATACTTGGTACTATTCATCGACTTTTTTTTTTAAAAGCGCGACGACCGATCCGAAACTTCCGGGGGTCTTGTGGGTGTATTTTAAGATTGCATTTTTAATTTAAGCAATTTGAAGACCTTCCGAAGCCCCATTTCCTTTCTTTGGGCAGTAGCTTGGAACGATTTTTGACCTCTAGACCTGATTTTCTTGAGGGTATTTTGGACATTTTACACTGCATTTTTTTGGTTTTCGTCCGCGTGTCGGGTAGAAAACTTGATTTTGGGGGGGGGGGGGGTTTCTTCTTTGAATTTTTCCAGAAAAGTCCGTTTAGATGCCCGTTTTTACTCTCAGTTGCAGCAGTAGTGGGTTGATAGCACTGTAGCTGTCACGGCCTTCATCTGACCGCCGCGACGTCGATTTTGTTTTTGACCTTTCTCCCTCATCCAGACTCCAAATCAAGTGAGTTTTTTTTTTAAAATTGATTAATTTTTCATTGTCTATCCAACGGTGTCCTCGGTTGCACCCAGATATTTCTGGATAATTACCAGTTTACCCTTTTAGCTTTGTTGCTCGTTTTTCTTTGTTTTGTCGTTTGTCCTTCGTTCGGAATCCGGATAATGAAAATTCTTGAGTCCATCATCCTTAGTTTTTCATTGTCTTCCCAGTGGTGTGCTCGATAGCACTTGAATCCATTTTTTTTTTTTTTTTTTTTGCAAAATGACCATTTTGCCCCTAGGTTCCTTTTTGTCCGTTTTTGAAACGACACTTCCGCATTTGTTTTCCTTTGGGTTCCATGACCTCATTGAGGGTCACATTGGTGTCTTAGAGACGCATTGTATCTTTAGAGACCGTTGTTTCACCTTTCGCTTCCGTATTTCGGATCCGTTATCGGATCATCTTTTGGTCATCACTGACGCACCGGGTTTACAAAACTTGGGCCGTCACAATCCCGAATAAGAGCAATCGGCTCAAAAATATCCTTCATGAACTCAGGAAGTATACAAACACAAGTATACTAAGCTAAATAAAACACACATAAGACAAGTATACACAGCACAAGTATACTAAATGAAATTTAAACTCACGGAGCAAGTATACAAGTTCAAGTATGCTAGATAGGATTCAAATACCCAAAGTAAGCATCAATTCTCAAGCTACAAGTAATCCATGATTAACAACTTGAAATTAAATGCGAAATCAAATAGAGGAAAGACTAGGATCCTTGGCTGCACACTAATCGAGTTATTCCGGGTTACTAGCTCGCAAGGTACTACCTAGTGCGCATGTGTATAAGTTATTCCAGGTAATTACGACCCACAAGTTATTACCTACTGCGCACTTCATATGACTTAGGAAACTCACGAATCCGTACTAGGGCTAGACCCTAGCCTTCATATGAACATGATCCTTACAAGCCTCCAAAAACAATAAGTTCAAAACTTATGCAAAATTAATAAGTTAAACCAAACTTATACATTTCAAATAATGTCTAGGAATCAATTTACATGCACAAGTAAGGTTGAATCTACACAAACCATGTCCTAGAATTTAAGTCCAGATAGCATATGACATGTCAAGTTTCCATTATGCAATTTATACACAAAGTAAGAATATTTTATAACAATTGAACCACATTACTATCCTAAGCCACAAGTACTAAATAAGCTACAATTTAGTAACAAGCTCCCATGGTAAGCAATTGTAATATTCTAACAAGGTATATACCTACACAAGATATATTTAAACGAGTTATTCAAGACAATGATATCACCTATCATGCTAAGTCAAATTACCATCTTTAGGGGCTACAAGTACTAATTCTACAACAAGTTAGTAGCATGCTCACAAGGTAATTAAATGGACTACATTTCAAGGAATTATCAACCTATTACATCCAATATCAATTTAAGTGACCAACACACTTAAAACAAAATTAATTAATTAGCTTAATTAATTTTTCTCTAGATTTTCAAACATATCCAAATATCCTCAATTTAACATATGTTAAAGAATTCACCAAGGCCTACTTTAATATCACATTACAAGTTGATTTCATACTAGATACAACTATGTTAATTAATCTTTTACAAAAGATAAATATTAAATAAGTTTTGCAATTCTTATTCAAATATCTCAAATTTAATATATGTTACACAACTCACCAAGGCCTAATTTACTAGCATTCCATAATTTAATTCTAAACTATATACCATCATTAGAATTAAATCCAAAATAAAGAAAATAAATAAATTAAATTCTAAAAACTTGAACAAGGCATGCTCACAAGTTGCATATGCTTATAAAACAATTAATACAATAATAATATAAACCTAAGACATCCCCTACCTCAATTTGAGATAAAAATCTCTAAGGCCCACCGAAATGAAACCGCTCCGAATTCGACGAAACTCCTAGGTTTTGTCAGGGACAACACGATCTACATGAACCCCCAAGAAGCCCCATCAAAATCACAACTTGACTTCAAACCCAAACTCAAGAAACGGTCAGAAATGAATTCTAATAGGGGGGAAAGGTAGAGCACGTCGAGAGGAACGATAAATGTTAAGGCCGAAGAGTTTCCACTAAGGAAATCAAGTGGAGGAGAAGAAAGAATGAAGGCAGACCCTTGGGCACCGATGGCTGCTGGCCAAGAGGGTGAAGAAGATGATGGAAATATGACTTTTTGACTTAAGACCCCCTATTTATAGAAAATCTCAAAAAGTGCCCCGAAAGGGTCCCGCCGGGTCCGGAAAAGTGAATTTTGAGCAAACGCGCTCAAATGACAAAACTCTATGAACAAAAAAGATTCTAAATGAGAAAATATGGACAACGGAAGAAACAGCGTAAAAAATCAAGTTCCAAACAGAAAGACATGCCCCGAATAAGTTCGGCGGCAATCGGGGCCAAAAACCCTAAAACTGGAAAAAAAAAACATGACTCGACGAAATGTGAAAATGAATCCCATACGAGGATCCAGGCTCCAGACAAGGTATTTTGCAATAACTTTCATTAATTACACAATGGCCCCTCCAAAAAGTGAAAACTGCACTAATGATCCAGAATGAAAATATCTTCCAAAAATATTTTCTTAAAAACCCCTGAAATAAAATATCTTCAAAAGATATTTACGAAAAACACCCCAAGAAAAGAAAAAAATTCTAAAAAACTATGCATCCATGCCCCTATGGACACCAGGAGCAACCAAAGTACTTTTCTGCAAAAGTAAAGATACGTATTTCGTGGAAACCACTTAGGATGAAGGTACATGAAGTCAAAAACCAACTCCAAACACAAAGAGTGAGGTTATGCCAACAAAGTGACAAACGGGGAAAAGACAAAATAGGGAAGAGGACAAAACAGGAAAAATGACGAAAAGTGAATAGTGTCGAAAAACGAAAAATGTAGAAATGACTCAGTCCTCATAGGAAGTTGTCAATCCAAATAAAAGAGTCTCAGAAACTATTTTCAAGCACTCGAGACGACACTAAGCGACGAGAAACTAAACTCAGAAAAGAAATTTCAATGAAAAAAATTCATCTGTAAAATTCTGAGGAAAAAGGAATGGAAGAAAATGACCGGGTCATTATAAACCTATCTCAGTTTGGTGCTTACAAATTGTGTAGCTGAATAAGAAATTAGCCATGTTCAGTTCAATCCCCTCCAACCTTCAACATACGAGAAGGGCGGAAATCACTCTAAAAAAATTGGGGTTTACTTGAAGGCTGAGAAAGGATGAAGGGGAAAATAAAGGGCATGGAGGTGACTAACAAATATAAGCAACTCGTTCTCAGCGATGCCCTCACTGGAACTAAAGTCGGCATCAAAAGGATATTTTTCTATTTCTACCCCTTCAGGAATCTCAAACTCCTCCATGACAGAGTTAATAAGGAATTTTAGGTGATGGAGTATACAATCATATCTTTCTCAGCCTTAGAAAATATTTCCTCAGATCCAGAGGTAGATTCCTCCTCTTGATCATTCCCTCTCACAGCAGAATCGCTTGAAAAGTCATGAGAATTAAGGATTTTTGGGGGAGACAGATATCTAATGAGAATGGGAGATGCCGAAGGAGTGGCCTCAGAATCTATAATCTCTATTTGATCTTGAACAGGAGAAGAATTCATAGTATAAAAGTTACAAAGGAAGCATGAACTAACCTAGAAAATGACGAGTCTGTAAAGCACGATGATAGTGGAAGCAAAATGTTGAGAAAAGTTGCGTCAAAATGTCAATAGCCACGCTCTAAACCGCCATTTACAATTCTAGCAACTGCGCAAATTCAATTCCCTTCTAAATAGGGACCGTTACCCAATTTAGAAGGGAAATGGGGGCAAAGTGTGGAGGGAAAATACTTCCCTACCAGTAAAAGGTTAACACATCAGCATGAGAGGGGACCACCGAAATTATGAAGACTATTCAAACTTCATGCTTGGCCTTCAACATGAAGAATGTGTCAAGTCAATCAAACCCAGTGGAATTCATTAAGGAAGGCCCAAATAAATAGGATTTTAAGCCCAATCATGAATACACGTTTTAAATGCATTTTTTATAACAGTTTTATTAGAAGAATGATTATCATTCAAGAAAACTGAATCACTAAAATCCTGATCAAAAGGAAAGTGTAGTGTAATTGACAACCTTGAGGGACAAGCAATGCGAATCCTAAAAAGATTCTATCTCTTAGAATTTATTATAAATAGAGATTAAGACCTCGAATAAAGATACACAAGCTCCGCATTATCAATCTTAGTTTCAAGTTAATAGTTCTTTCTATTTGTTAATTCATATTATTTAAGTGTCGTGTGACAATACGTCGACTTTTCAAAGTTAAAGGAGTTTTTGCACCTACACCCCTCAATTTATTTTATTTTATTTATTTATTTCATGTTAAGAAACCCATAGGCCTACCCAAACAGTTTATGCCTTACACCTTGACTCTCCTCTTTGAATATGAGGAGATTGTACCATTGAGCTGTCGTTATTGATAACCTTCAATAAAAGATGTACTATCTCTCATAAAACTTTGTCAGCAAATTTCTAGTTGTTTTCTTCATTAATAGTAGTGAGCGTTGATTGGAGAGGCTCTATCTGACTATCCCTGGTCAACAAAACTTCTGGCACCTAGGCTCTTTCATTGAGTGAACAAATCAAGCAATTCGACATATTAGGAAGAGGAAACATTTGTGACAAGGAACATTTTACATTTATGAAAGATTATAAGAGAATGAAACAACAGCACGAGAAATCAACATACACAACCCTTTTGGATAAAAAAAAAAAAAAAAAAATTCTGCATTACATTATGGATTTTGGTCACACTCACTGGACAACTTCACTTAGCCACAAATAAAAACCAAAACAGGCTGAAGAGAGATCAAAGTAGTCCATCAAATTCTACTCATATTTCTTGTGAAGTTTCAAAATAGCAAGCACAACCAGTAAGAGATATGCCAATGAGCCAAGAAGAGATATGGCTATGGCAGCAGCCACTTGGTGACAGAATTTATCGAAGACGTCGCATACTTTGCTCCAACGCACATGCGAGTTGCCTCGGTAGCCAATGAGGCCGATTGCAGTGGCGGCTCCGGTGCTAGAAAAGAGTAGTACCAACACCACTAAATCAAGGATGACGATCATCAGATAAAACCATTTCTTCTTACCCATTATGGCCAATGTGAGGATCAAAGAGAGTGCTCCATATGAGCATGCTATGGCATTTGTCACCTCCAAGTACCTATTAGAAGAGTTTGACAAAATTAGTTTGTTATAATTTTATTTTATTTATTTTTGTTTTGTAATAACACAGGTAGTTGGCTTTGGGACTTTGGCTTGAATCTATGTCACCCATAATCAATTCGGTTGGGTTGGGTGAAATATCAATTAAGCCTTTCCATTTTCTCATACTACTTGACTTAGCAGAAAGCTGTGTATGGTTCACAAAGAATTTTGAATTCACAAAGTAGAAGAAATTTGCAGAGGATTTTGAAATATTATTGATAATTGAATGGGTGATCGGATCTTGTAATAAGTGTTATTTGTCCCACATCGAAATCGGATGGGAAAGTGATTCGGTATAAATGGGTGGGTATACAGCATTACCTAATAGTTCGAGCTTTTGGGTAAATGGGCAAGCGCCCACCCATTACAATTGATATCAGAGCCAGACCCAATCCTTGATCCGGTGTCACGCCAAGCGCCCGACCCGGAAGGCGTTCGGGCTAACATCCCGGGTAGGCAGGGTGGCCTGAACCGCAATGAGGGCGTCACGAGTTTGGGTGGGGGAGAATGTAACAAGGGTCATTTGTCCCACATCGGAATCGGATGGGAAAGTAATTGGGTATAAATGGGTGGGTATGCAGCATTACCCAATATTTTGAGCTTTTGGGTAAATGGGCAAGCGCCCACCCGTTACACATTTCCAATACATGTATTTATAAATAAAGAAATCAGCATAAGAAACCTTAAAAACATACGGAACTAGCTAGTAGAACAAGAAAACTATTCAAAAATCAACTTACTCCAAAAATTCTGTAAAAAAAAAGAAAAAAATCTAATTACACTAACTAAAAAAATTATTAAATTCTAAAAAGGAAAGTAATCCAAATATGTTTTTAATTATTAAATATTTAAAATTGGGAAAACGTAATTTTTGAATTCGGCCAAAATGCGTCCTACCTTAATAGTTTTTGCTACTGATTTTTTCAATTTAGGTTGCTTCCGATCATACTAGGGTCAAAACGGACTCGTCAAAATTATTTCGAAAAAAACTATCTCAGCCTGCCCGTTTGACCTTTTGACTATCCAAGCGGACTCCAAAATCATTGTCAGCAAGCAATCTGTTCTACATTACTACTACTAATTTTAATTCAAGAAATGCTAGTGAGAACTGGGACATGTCGTTGGATGCAACTTAGCCAACCATTAATTGGATGATCTTGGACAAGTTTTTGAGTGGTTTGTATTAAATCATACGGAACCCAAAAGTAACTTGCTTGGCTTTGTTTGACGCATCAATATATTCAAGTAAATTTGAAACTTGTCACAAGTTTTAGTCAAATAAAAGCTGGTAATAGTGACACTTAATGTCTGCTAATTTTTAAAAATGTATATATTGAATGGTTAATTTAATTTTTCTCAACTTTTTATTGCATGATTACCCATACAATTCAAATGGTACACTTTTTTAGGACAATGGTTTAATGCGCTGTTACTAGCATTGAAAAGAGATTTCAATAAAATTAAATTATGTTTCAACATTTTATTTTTTAGTTTTGAAAATTTTAAAACAGGCTATGCAAGAGGATTCAGACTCGATGATGGAGAGTCTGAAATTGAAGACTCCCACACATTCATTTGATATATTTATATATATATATATAGAGAGAGAGAGAGAGAGAGAGAGAGAGAGAGAGAGAGAGAGAGAGGGAGAGAAAACTCACACAAAGGCAGACATGTAATTCCACTTAGCGGTGACCGGAACATTTAAAGGTGGGAAGGCGAGAACCACCTGTATAGGCACAACCGTGGTCTGCTTATCAACCCCAAGAACAATTGCCGCCACCAGAGTGAATGCAAAGGCCAAAAGCCTCAACATAAATTCTGAACAATTCAAACTACTTTTATTACCCACATTCATTTCTTGGCCTCTAACTTCAATATTACCCTCTGATCTCACCCCATTGCTAAACTCCATGACGCAAAAGAATAATTTCCAAGAAAATTGATCGGAATATACATTAACGGGTTATATATATATATATATAGAGAGAGAGAGAGAGAGAGAGATGTGGGGATGCTTATATAGAGAGAGATACTAAAGAGGAGGTGTGAAGGGGAGAGGAATGGGAATGACTTCCATATTGGTGACATTTTACGAGTTTCTGTTTTTGGGGAAGAGGACGTATTAGTGGTTTAATCATTGGTGCGAAGTGTAATGCTTCATTTTTGGTTTACACTTGGTGGGGACGATTGGGAATTTGGGATATGATTGACCAATTTGTTTTCCTATTGACTAAAAGATTAACCTTATTTGATGATTTTTTATTTTTTATTTATTAATTTTTTTCATTTTACAAACATTAAAACTTTTTTTTTGGGTGATCCAATGTGGAAAATAAATGATATGTGATCTCTTAAGAATTCCATTGATGGTTAACACTGGTCTATCATATGATATTTGGTATTGTTCTTATCATTTCATAGGGGAAACAACTCACTATTTTAAAAATTTTAAAAATATACTTTCTAATGCTAGTATCTGTATACAATTTTGTGACTAAAGTATAATGAAAGTAAATAATCTATGTGTGTTATGTTGGTTTGCATATAATTGGTATATTAGAATTAGAGAAAATTTAGCATAACCGAGGCTAGCATATAATTTATAACATCAACACTCAAGCATAGCATAATCGATTTTAAATTTTTAAATTTTAAATTGTACCATTTGATTAAGCTACGGGACTTAGTAGTATCTTATTTATTTTTTAAGTGCAAGGTAGAATTTTTATTTTTATGTTTTTAGGACGGTGGTAGTGTCAGGCATCTCTTAGAACCCATAATCCACCATAAGACAATAGGGTCCCCTGTCCCACATCAAAATTTATTTAGAGTAGTCCCAAGTAGAAAAGGTTGATGATTCAAATCCCTTCAATAGCATTGTTGGAGGCATTATGGAGTGATTTAGTTGGTAGAGCACCCAACTCTCCAAACAGGTGTGCCCGTGTTTGAGTTCTCCCTCCTCCTAATTTGGCAAGGGAAAAAAAGGGCATTGTAAGATTTTTTTTTTTTTTAAATAATAATAATAATAATAAGAGTAAAGTGCAAAAAAACATGATCCATATAAAAAATGTGCAAGAAACACTCTCTATTTTATAAAGTGAATTTTTTTAGCAAATTTTCTATAGTCAATCTTGATTAATTTTTTTATATGAAATTTTGAAAAATACCCTTAAGAAGTTAAGAACATTTTAGAAATATCAAAGAATAGCTCAACTAAAAATAAAAAATAAAAAGCTAGAGTGAACACTTAATATTAGATTATTATTTATCGGAGAAAATAAATTCTTATACTATCATTTAAGTATTCACCCGTAAATGACGAATTGGATTATCAAAGAAGAGCTAAACTAAAAGTGAAAAACGCTAAAGGAAAGCTAAATGTAATTCAAGAACATTTGTTTCTGAAAATCTTTGAGACGTGGCAGCTCAGCGTGCCCGTAATTTTTGGGATCTTCCATCTTCGTTCATTTGACCACCTCCTGGAGATGATTACAATGAAGGCTATCAAAGGCTCAGCCTAAGATCGCCTGAAGATGGCAGCTCATAGGAAATGGAGATAATTGTTTTGACATGGCTAAATGTATATATTGGGTATTTGGGTTTGGGTTTGGGTTATGCTTAAGCCTTGTATTGGACCTGTTGGTCTTTTTGCTTTTGTTTGGTGGGTTTTTTGCACTTACATAGGGTCAAGGCCCCATTTCTAATTTCGCCTCTGGCCCTCACTGTACATAGACTTTAAAATATACTATTGTTTTAACATTTTGTAAAAAAAAAATTATATACCCAGTTACACTTTAGACGGAACCAGTTGCACTTTCCAGAGGCCTTAAAAGTGTAATACTCTTAATTTTAAAAAGATAGTCCCGGTATTTTAATTAAGTATTTTGTTACATTTTGAATTTAATTGTTTATTTGCAAGGTTATGTAAATTAATTAAATGAATTGTTTTATTTAAATTATGTTATGATTTTTCTTTAAATGGATTAATTGTTAATTAATTAAATTGGTTGAATTAATGGTTTTTATTTTCTTTAATTGACTAATTGTATTTTAGATTGGGAATTAGTTGTGTAATTAGATTAAATTAGTATAACTGTTTTAATGTTAAAAAAGTAGGTTTAATTCTTTTTATCACGTATCGGCCGACTCTCGTTTAATTAGGGTTTCCGTCCTAGATTAATAGTTGGACTTAGGATTTTATTGGTGCCTATATATATACGTGTATTAGTTCTGCCAAGGGTTTTAAAACCCTATTCACGACACAGTGGAAGTAGAGACATAACAGAGAGAGGATTGAGAGAACAGAGACGTCGTAAGGGTTACCAAGGAGGAAAACAGAGAGGACCAATGAGGTTTTGTTGTGGATTAAACCAGAATAATAGGAGGCTTGACGGTATTCAGTAATTGCCAGAAACTTAGAGATGATGCCAAGATTTCATAACTGAAATCACAGGCAAGTTTTTTTATTTCTCTCTCCCATTGGCCTGTGTTTTGTACACTTAGATAGTCTCTGGGAGTTTAATTGGACATTAATTGAATCTTTCATGTTTATTATATGCTAAATTGATCATCTGAATGTGTTGAATTTAATCTGTCATGGTGCTTGCACGTCTACGTTTCAGTTTGGTCTTTATGCATGTTAAATCAGTAGCGGTTTTAATCATTGTAATTAATTCCAACTATTACAAACAAACCATTGGGATGCTACTGGAATAGTGATTTCAAGTTGAGGGCTTACTGTGACTCGGATTGGGCAGGTTGCCCACTCACTAAGAGATTTACTACGGATATTGTGTCTTTCTTGGACCTTCATTAATATCTTGGAGGTCGAAGCGACAGAAAACATTTTCTCTCTCTTCTGCCAAGGCGGAATACTGTGCAATGACAAGAGCCTGCTGTGAGTTGACATGGCTCCGATATCTATTGAGGGACTTGGGACTTTCACATCATGAATCTGCCTTGCTATATTGCGACAACAAGGCTGCCTTACACATTGCGGCCAACCCAGTTTTTCATAAGCGAACTAGGCATATTGAGATAGATTGCCATTACATTAGAGACAAGATATGTACATTCTGCACATCTGCTAGCAGACGTCTTGACGAAGCCTTTGGGGAAAGAGATCTTTGTTCCTATGTGATACCCCCTAATTTCGGAATACGGGTTGATCAAGTCCATACACAAAATTCGGGGATATCAAAACAATTAAAGTATTTAAACAAGCACATATTACAAAATGGAATAAAGAATAATTAATACGCTGAAAAAAACTAATAAATACTAAATCCATTAATAATTCTCCAACATTTACAACTCGGGAATCCTGTAACTCAAGGACCCCGTAACCAAAATCCATTAACCAAAAGTTCACTACTGATTACTAATATCAAATGAAATGATAATAATATCTTACTTTTAATTAAAGCGAAAGAGTGGATAAGTCCTCCAGCTGCGGATCCTCAACCTTGAGACTTGAACTTCTAATAACCTGAAAAATAAATCGTGGGTTAAACCCTACGAGCAAGTTCTCTCTACCAAGCTTTTGAAAACCAATAAACAAATCATTTATACCAAAACCAATCCTAATAAAGTTTAAACCTTAAAGTACCTTGCTACATATATATACAACACAGTAAATCCTATCCATTAATGGTTTCATTACATTGTCAAAACCCTTAACCAATAATTAATTAATAATTATACCTAAACCAATCCACCAGTATATATTTCTTTTAAACAAACTCCTTTAACCTTAACTTCATCCTAGACAATTATTTAATCTATTAAATAATAAAACATAATTAAGGGAATATAATAAATAATCCAAAACCTAATAATGATTTTCTTTAATTATATAAATCATTAAACCAATATCTAGGCTTTGACAAATCATCCATGTCTCCACCAATATTATTTTATTGATATGATAAAATAATAATTGGCCTGTAGTTACTAGATTATTCTAATAAGAATAATCCAATCCTAATCCAACTTGTACATACGACATCCACAGATGAATTTTAAATCATCTAACACATAACAATTTAGTTATGTAATAGCAATTCAACCATGCCATTACAGATATATTTATTTAAATATTAGCAATTCAACCATGCTTCTTTAAGTATATTTATTTATACTTTTAAATAGCAATTCATCCATACTTCCTCTACATGAAATTATTCAAAAATAATAAGGCCATATATATTTAAGCCGTTGGCAACTCATCCATGCCTACAATTCAACCATGTACCACATCTTAAAACTAATTTAACCACATACCAAACCATACCTAGACATTCCATGCATATAATAAGCATACCATTTAAGAATAATAAATATATATATATATATATATATATATATTATTCTTAAATATATATATATATATACAAGTACTTATATATATACGTCCTTCCTTACTAACCATATATATATATATATATAGACAGTTATACACACTTCCTTCCACCCCCAACTACTAATTAAAATTATATATGCACATTAAATACCCAAGCGATACTCTCTGGCTCCCAAAACACCACGAACGCATCCGCTGATGGATGTTTTCAACCCTAACAGTTTAAAAACCAATTCTGGGAATTCACTAAGATCCCCAGGAACTTACCAGGACCCCAAACATTGTCCCACACGCCTCCATGCGCCACCACACACTCCTAGACTTGCTGCACGCACCTCCACGCGCCACCAGCCACTGGCTGCTGTCCTCACGCGCCTACACGCTCTGCACACGCGCCGGATTTGGCCCTCCGCGCGTGCTGGCCTCTCCTCATTGGTTGCCCTTCCTTGTCATGGTGAGCTCGCCCACACTGGATCTTCATCCACCCTTTAAATTGCATCTAGTGGCCAAATCATGCAAGCGCACCATCTCTTCATGGACCGCGCATCAGA